TTTTAAAGATAGCCGAAAGGAACCCGCGCTCCTCCCCCGAACTCTCTTCTCGGGGAGGAACGTAGACCGAACTCGAGATAGCGGCGGAAATCGAGCCTACAAAACACGTAAGCTTGCGTGTCAGGTAATATTCCGTGATCAAAGAAACTGTTTACAAAAGGTTGTAAGCCAATCAAATTAGGTTTCGCTAAGTTTTAAGGAGTGCCGTGTGTTGAGTCTTTTTAGTACAAGTACACAGTCAGAGCGAGAGAGGAAACCGAACCTTGTGATCTTAAAATAAACTTGTGAAGTTTGCGAAGAACGGCCTCACCTGTTGAGTCTTGGCATTCGCAACATAATTTGTTAATGTTCTTTATTCGAGTGCTTTCTTTGGGCATAGCGAGAAACAAACTGAATGAGCTCAGGATCGAACAATTCGTCCGTAAGGTGGGAATATTAATTTCTCAGCGTGACCACCGTGGTGGCTAAGGCAGCGGTTATCCGGTCACCTCGCCACCTGGAAATTTCGCCACCAACGAACTCGCCGCCGAGCGAAGTCACCTCGCCACCAAACACCAACAAAGAGATAAACCAATCGAGTGAAGTAGTCGAGGTGAATTAGCTGGCTAATCGGTTTTCAGCGCTCTTGTTTTGTTACCTTCTTGCTATGATTGTGCAGTAGTCTTTTGCATCATTGAAATGGACAATGCATTGCCTTCTTAGTTTTCTTTTCCGAGTCGCTACATAGATTTTTCCTCGTTTTTCATTCATGCCTTATGACGTTATTGGTGGCGTGGACACTTCGCTTGGTGGCGAGTTCGTTGGTGGCGACATTATGGAAATGGATTACATCACGATAATGATGGTCTGTGATTTTTGCGTTGTTAAATTTCTCCGACGTTCGGTGTAAATAGAGAACATTTGTCGCGTTTTCAAACCGAAACATCCGTTTTCAAATTTCTCCAGTGTAGTGTGCACTGGGGCCTAAACTCCCTTTTGACAGGAGAATGGCTATAGAAGTGCGTCATAAATCCCTGCAGATTTCTTAGCCCAAATCTGGAAAATAACAATTCGAAACGAGGAAGCTGTCCACTCATTTTTTTGAGAACAAGAATCCCGACAGGAAAATTTTTGTTGTCGTTCCTTTTTCTATCTAAGATACGAGGAAAACGGGTTGTATCCAATGAAGAAAATCCTTGGGTTCGCTCAAGGTGGGTCGAACTTAGTTCTCGAGCTAATATTCAGTTTTTGAACTCTGTGTTTATCGAGGGCATAGGTTCCAAACAGTTATTAGCTCGAGAGCGAGATTCGAGGATTTAAGTGAAATTTAATGGTAAAAAGTGAAGAAAGTACGTTATATGCTTGGCACAATTTTCAGGGCATAATTTACACACGACTGACTGACATCAGAAGCATATCACCTGCTAATATACATTCACGCTCTGCGGACCTGCGGACCTTAGCGGTGAACCCGCGGTCTGGGAACGAAGTGGGAGAAATCGCAGACATAGCCACCATCGAGTGCAGCCCGAGTGATTGAATGGGCATTTTGACACGACCTCGGTAATTCTTTGCTCGATAACTTTCTGTGAAGGTTTCAATATGTTTGGAAAAGTTCATTTCGGTACACAAATGGCTGATTTTGGTAATGGTGCCGTACACGCAAGCAGGCCGTGGAAAACAGCTGTGCAGGTGTCATTCAGCTGATTATGACGGCGGTAAAGTTCCGGAGGTGTGAAACCTTTCTGACCACCGAAAAGGATCCAAATATCTTCAGGTAAGAGGCACATAAGTTACTTTCGATAGATTGCACACCACATGGTGAATGTTTTTGGTTACAACGGGACTGGAAACAAGAAATAGGCGTATTTTAGCTGCGACATACGTTCAACTGGGAAGTTGTGCAAACCAAAGCGAACTTACAGGGGGACAGGATTGGTTATATTCCCATAGAAAAAGTCCCTAAATTTAATTCAGCAAAATTTAAAAACATCAAATGTCGGTACATTATGGTAGACTCTCCAAAGTGGACTGATATAGCATCTGTAATCTTTACAAAGAATGGAAAATGGCTGCCTAATGATGGACTATACAAGTACATGTACAATGATAAGCCGTAGCCACTTTAATTAAATTTGTTTTCAGAAAACGAAAGCCCACATTATTCTTAATCTCTCAAGGGGTTATCATTGAGAAGTGAGTGCTGCCGTTAGTAGCGTGTTTGTATGTAAGTATGACAATGGGAACTTCAATAGAAATATAACTAATTTATTTCTAAAACAACATGGTTACATTAGTTAGAGCATGTAAATACATGCGATCTCCATGAAATAAGATAGCATCGATATCTGTTTGCGTCCAAGAATCAACCAAATCCGATCGAATGAAAAGCAAAGCTGAAAGTGACATAAATGCACACTGTCGGCCTCTAGAATGCTCACTGAAAGCTTCATGACCTTGATGAATGCTTCTTTGAATAGAAGTAATCATAACAGATCAGCAAAAGAGATCAAAGAAACGAAAAAAAAACCACAGCTCACCTGTAAACAGTGTAAACCTTGATTCTAGTATTCCACTGCGAGAAAAAGCAAAGCTGCAAGTGAAACAAATGCACACTGTTGTCTAGAATGCTCACTGAAAGCTTCATGACCTTGATGAATGCTTCCTCGAATAGAAGTCATCGAAAGAGATCGCAAAGTTAAACGCGATCAAAGAGAACAAAAGAGCTGCAAAACTCACCCAAATAGATCCCAAACACTTTATCTTTCTTGTGAAACACGAGAGACGTCAAAACGGAGCACATGTGAGTTTCATCGATTATAAGGGAACTGCNCTGTAATCTTTACAAAGAATGGAAAATGGCTGCCTAATGATGGACTATACAAGTACATGTACAATGATAAGCCGTAGCCACTTTAATTAAATTTGTTTTCAGAAAACGAAAGCCCACATTATTCTTAATCTCTCAAGGGGTTATCATTGAGAAGTGAGTGCTGCCGTTAGTAGCGTGTTTGTATGTAAGTATGACAATGGGAACTTCAATAGAAATATAACTAATTTATTTCTAAAACAACATGGTTACATTAGTTAGAGCATGTAAATACATGCGATCTCCATGAAATAAGATAGCATCGATATCTGTTTGCGTCCAAGAATCAACCAAATCCGATCGAATGAAAAGCAAAGCTGAAAGTGACATAAATGTACACTGTCGGCCTCTAGAATGCTCACTGAAAGCTTCATGACCTTGATGAATGCTTCTTTGAATAGAAGTAATCATAACAGATCAGCAAAAGAGATCAAAGAAACGAAAAAAAAACCACAGCTCACCTGTAAACAGTGTAAACCTTGATTCTAGTATTCCACTGCGAGAAAAAGCAAAGCTGCAAGTGAAACAAATGCACACTGTTGTCTAGAATGCTCACTGAAAGCTTCATGACCTTGATGAATGCTTCCTCGAATAGAAGTCATCGAAAGAGATCGCAAAGTTAAACGCGATCAAAGAGAACAAAAGAGCTGCAAAACTCACCCAAATAGATCCCAAACACTTTATCTTTCTTGTGAAACACGAGAGACGTCAAAACGGAGCACATGTGAGTTTCATCGATTATAAGGGAACTGCTGATTGGCTGCTGGCTCATATTTTAAAGTGGATTGCTGATAGGCTAATTCTCTATCTGAACGATCGATCGATCGAACGAAACTTCTCAAATGCTTTCAAGAATATGAAGGCTACCTATCGGCAGCAATGAGGAAGTGTGATTTCTTAGTAATAATTTGAGTATAAAGGGCAAAATTAGATAGACAACACAAGTGATTTTCAGCAATCTTTGAGAGACTGTCATAAGTATTTGCTAATCAAACTCAAAACTCTGTGTAGGATGTTGGGTGATTTTGAACAGTCTTTGGAAGTTTTCATGTCATGGTAAATTTACGTGAACAGTAATATGATGAAAAATAGTTCCGCAATGCGTACATGTGTGGTTTACAAGTTCACTTGTAACATGTAATGGAAGTTAAACTGAATGGAAAAATATGAGCTGGAAGTAGGTGATAATAAGTCTAACTGGATAAAGTTTTCCATAACTTACATTGAAAACTTAATTCTGGATATTGGAAGAAGTAACTGTCTGGATATCACTTAGAGGAGAAGTATGGAGTTCCAATATCTCTTCAGAGGTGAACACTTTTCAATATGATGGTCAATAGAAAAAACAATCAGAATTGAAGTTCTTATATATTGCCTTAAGTGACAATTGTACGATTAGTTAGCAGCAGTACTTGTTGCCTGAGAAGTAAGTGACAGGGTTTGTACACCTTTTCAGGCCAAAAATTCAAGGACTTTCCAGGACCCTACTTTGAAATTTCAAGGGCTTTTCTTTTAGTGTTGAAAGCTATGTTTCAGGCATAGACATGTGCACATGCAGAAATGCCAGACAGCGAGAGCTTGGAAACATGTGCAAACCAGACATTTGCTGTGCATTTGTGGCTCAATGGACATGTGTGAGAATAAGGAGAAAGCACTAGGACAAAAAACCAATTTCGAGTACTTTCACCCTTGAAATTGGACTGCTGAATTTAAAGGGTTTTCAAGACGCTTATGAACGCAGAAGTGAAAATATTAGAGTAAACTACATGTTATTACTCAATTTGGCAAAATTTACTACTTGCCAAAAAGTTAGGCTATGTGCCTTGTTGTACCAGAGTTTTTTTGGAAAGTCAATCCAGTTTCTATTTGCATTTAAAAATATGTACCTTTGCTATAATATAGTGGCCTGCGTGGCAACGGGGAAGGGGTATGGAGGGTGCGCTCACACCAGTCCCTCAGTACCTATTCCCACTCATAATTAGGTATGGGGTTTGGGGAAGAGAACATATGTTTGAGGAATGGCGATGAAATTGCAGGTTTCCAAGGTCAAAATTTTGATGAAGGAAGGATTGTCAATTTTTTCTTTCCAGATGAAAGGACGCTACAGACACCGTTAAGTTATTCT